TATCCTCTAGTCTCATTACTTGTTTCAATTCAAGTTTTATAAATTTTCGCCAAGTTGTTTCACCAGTCATTCTATTTTTAATTTGCTTGAAGATTGGCGTCGCTTTTACAGTAGGTAATTGTCGCAAATCCCCGATAAGTATAACGCGAACCCACGAGATTTCATCCATCAAAAAAGTTTCTAAGGCGAACAGCACACTGCGCGTGCGCCAGTCAGAGCATGTCTGTGACGCGAACCCATAAGTTTTCCCCCCACCAAAAAGTGCCCAATGCCGCTAAAGAAGTTTTCACTTCAATAAATGGATAAAGTATGTCATATTTGTAATTAATTCATTAATTAACCCGGGGTCAGTCGCGCTGGGCACATATTCACCCAAGCTCACGAAATCTTTAATTCTGGGAAAACTATTTGTTACAATAGGCCATATCAGTATCCTCCAATATGACAGAGAGAGAGTTTTCATGTAAACTAAAATGTATTTGTCATATATCTCCCTCTTTTTCGGGAACAGCGATGGTCTTCTTTGAATCTCAACATACTTGGGGCGACTAGTCTCGCGTACTACCACTTTTCTTCCATAATATTTTCTATGAAAAAACTACCTTTTTCTTCTTGCTGTGTTTTGCGCCTCATTAAGGTTTAAAAATGTAAATGAACAGAATATAAAGAAAGAAATGGGCATCAGTGTAAACTCTACTGGATAAAGTTGAAACTGATGAAGCAAATGTAAAACATGAAGTAATGTAGATATTAATCCTGATACAAAATTTAAGAAAAGTGATGAAGATAAAACGTTTGAGTTGAAAGGAAAATTTTCAAATACTACTTAAAAAACACCATCAAAAGAAAGATAAGAAGCCATAAGGGTCTAACAACACACACTGAGCCCTGGAAAAAAGACAAAAGCGTGTAAAAGTTCACCATGCTATTTGTAGATCTTCAAAGAACAATAAGAACACAATAACTTGAATAAAATATGACAGTTTTGCCTGAAAATACTATTCCTTTAATATTAACGAAAAGTACCAGTGATTTGTGTCCTTCATTAAGGTCACGCACATTTGAAACATTTTAGTTGAAGTGGATTGAATTTTTTCTCAAGTTTCAAAGAAAAATGATGTATTTAAAAGCAGGTTCTTATTTTTTCTCTTAGTTAAATTATCCGTTGGAGTAAAAATAATTATAAAAAAAGGGATTGGGGTGACTCCGACTCCTTTCGCAACCCCGAACGTTGGTATCAAGTGCGAGCCTCCTCACGTGTAAAGAGGACGATACACGTTAAATCTGCCTAGGGTTCCAAGTTCTCCTATTATTGTGGTGTAAAAATTAAGAGAGAGAGTGCTGATTCTGGTGCCTTCCTCGTCACTTGACTGTGGTTCAAAATTACGGGGCCTTCACCATTAGCTCTAGTATTGCTTCAGGGTGCAACGTGAAATAAAATCAAATATATCAGAATTTAAACTTTCAATCTTATAAATATTTTTTTCTAAGTAAAACATGAAATTTAACGAATTACTTAGATGAATTAAAATTTTTTATTTAAATAAATACCTTAGAGAATTTCATAAAAAACATGTTAAGGCAAAAAATAAATAAATTTTAGAGAGTTCTGCTTTTACCTACAATTGCTCTTTTTCAAAATTTAATTTCTAACGCTCAAACACAGGTCTTAAAATTGGATTTATGATTTGAACCAAGAAAATTTGTTTTAATAAGTATAAACCTTCTTTCAACGTTAGTATCGAGTGCGCACCTGATCCTGGGTTAAAAAGTGCGTAATTGTACATTTGTAATTAACTTTTCTAGGTTTTGATTCCTGAAAGAAAAAAAAAAAGGTGTTGAACTAATTCCATCGCGCGTTTTCTTATTTTGCAGATTCAAAAACAGAGACGGTTCATTTTCATAACTATTTTATAAGTGAAGTTCATGATGAATATCAAACCAATATTTGCAAAAAACAGTCGTATATATATCGAAAGAGACAGCTGCAGTTGTTCAGATTCTACTACTTTTTTCCTTTTTAAAGCAGACAATCACATTTAGAAATCTTAAATGAATGTATTTGAAAATGAAATACGTCCGAGAATATTTACAGATAATTCACGCAAAGCGAAAAAAAAGGAATAAAGTAAAATATATTTTGAAAGTATAAGTAACATGTTTTGATGATAAAAAATTACGCAATATTTTGTTGATAAACATCAAAATTCGATCCAATATCAGGATTATTATAAAAATTATAATAGAATCTGTACTTCAATTGTTTTATAACTTTGTAGCGAGCATTAGTTTGTAGAACTCTCAGTAGATGGCGTTGTGTAGCCTTGATGTATCCTAGCTTTCTTGGGAAAAAAGGAATTTAGAGAGCGAGGAGTTGCCCACACAGAACTGAAACCGGGTTGTTTTTCTAACCTGTAAGCAGGCACGCATTTGATGCTAACGTTAATGGTCGCGCCGGGGGATTGAGTCACCCCAATCCTTTTTTCCAAAAGAATTTTTATTGTAGTGGATAAAAATCGTAATTCCAGTGAATAATTTAAATAAGAAAATGTATACTTACCTATTTTTCAGGTTTCTCAAAAAAAAAATCCAATAAAACTGAAATAAAATGTTTCAAATGTGCGTGACCTTAATAAAGGACACAAATCACTTTTCGTTAACATTAAAGGAATAATATTTGCAAGCAAAACTGTTACATTTTGTTCAAGTTATTGCAGTTTTATTGTCCTTTGATGATCGACAAATAGCATGTAGAATTTTTTCTGCTTGTGTCTTTTTGACAGGGCGCAGTGTGTCTTGTGTATACTTGTGGTTTTATACCTCTCTTGATGGATTTTTTTAAGGTAGCATTTGAAAACTTTCCTTTTAACTCAAACGTTTCCTGTTCATCATTTTTCTCAAATTTATACTCTCGCTATCAGGATTAAAATACCCATTATCTCATCAGGTTCTACTCTTGCTTGATCTGTTTCAACCAATAGAGATCGCACAGATGCCCATTACTTTCTTCATATTCTGCATTTACATTTATAAACCCTAATGAATCGCACAACACAGCAATCAAAACCAGTAAGTCGTTGTTCACAAAGGGAAAATATGGCATTTTCTTTGAAAATTTTTAGTAAGTAAAGTGTTCGCCTGGGACACTTAAGGCTTTGGAACAACTTTTTGCCAGTGAGCTGAGAAAATTTCTCCAAATGAAAGTTGCTTGAAATTCCAGCCCCCCCCTTCCCCAATGGGGTTCTTCGGCGCCATACGTCCTAAACAAGATGGCGGTAACGATGGTAGCTTCGCATCAAACGCATCAGGTATGGTGTATAATATTTTAATGGTGTACAAAATAAGAATGGCATTTATATTTTAAACAGAATGATGCTCTATTTCTGTTTAGCCTCCCCGCCCGTTAAAAAACGCGAGCGAATTAAAAGAAATAATATTGGATGGTCGTTTACGAAGCAGAAAAATCGGCCAGTAATGTTTCAACGTGAAGAAAGAGCGTGGCTGACGTCACATGCATGTCGTTTTGTTTACGGTAACCCTCAGATTCGGCGAAAAGTTGGGCTAAAAAGTTGCATGAAAAAATTACGTGTGATACCGCCTTTAGTCACCCCAAGTACCTTGAGATTGTAAGAAAACGTTTGTTGTTCCAAAAAAAGTGGGAGGTATGACAAATATATTTTAGTTAACATAAAGACTGTCATGTAGGAGGATACTGATAAGGTCATTAGCAACAAAAATTAACAGTTTTCCTTAAATTTAAGATTTCGTGAACCTGGGGTGACTGTACTCCGCGTGACCGCTCTCGGGTGAAAAAGTTTGAAATAACTTAAAAGAAACATGCATTCACATACCCAGAAAGAAATAAGTATTATTTTGTTTGAAATAAGGAGAAACCTATATACGCATAAACATTTACAAATGACAGGCTAAACATAACACTATATGCGATTATATATATATAGAGAGAGAGAGAGAGAGAGAACTTTTATAAAATTTTTTCTAAACAAAAAACAAATTAAATTGAGGCATTGTTTTTAGAGTAAGAGCATTTAATTTGTCTTTTATTATGTTTTTCCACTATTCTTAATTATCAAAAATTATACTCATTTATTTTACGGAATTAATAATTTTTATTTTTGCCGAACAGTTTTAAATGACTACCGCGCGCACTTAAACTTTTCTTTTATAATATATACATTCTTTTCTTTTTTATCCAGATTACTTTTTTGATTTAGAACTAAGACCATCATCATGAATGGCATCACGACATTAGATGATGATAAAGACCTTAAAAAGATATTTAACCAGAAATGAAAAAGACAATACTTTTCTAAAGTCATTAAAAATGGCTTTAAAACACATTCGAGTTTTTGTTCTCTTCCGTTTTTTTCATATCATAATTCGAGTTAGAAAGAAAAATATGCTTTAAAATGTCATAATCATTTATATTTTTTCATTAGAGATAAAAAAAATTAAATATCATTTCTGCTTAAAGTTTTATCAAGCCTTTTACTGAATTGCAAAGAAAATTAAATTGATAAAAAAAAAAAGAGAAAAAATTAACAAAAATAACTATCGTTCTAGAGACTATTAAAAATATTTTTTTAAAAAATTTGCAGAACAATTACTTTGTTTTTATTTGATTTTAGAGTGTACTTTGTTCTACAGGTTTAAAAGAAAGAAAATATTAAAAATCTAAGCAATACCTACAACTTAAAAAATTAATATAAATATTTTTTGTAGAAGTCAATTCCTACTTATAGGTCAACAAAGAAAATTATTATTTTAGATACTTTTCAGAAAAAAATTACAATTATAATATCTATATGACAGATTCACAATAGTATGCGGCAAAATAGAAAATGATTTATCTTGCAGTTTTCCATTTTCCTTTCTATATGTAGTGTAAGACTATTATTTTGGTTTGTTACAATTTATTCATAAATTAAATTTAATTATTCCAATAAAATAGTATAATAAATCACACCCAGAAATTAGGTCTTTCCAAGTGGGATTCGAAACTACGACCTTTAGATTAGAAATCTAATGCGTTATCCATTGCGCTACAGGGACACAACGAGCGATTTTCCTTTTTATATATGGGGCTGGACTTATTTTTGTTTGTTACTATTTATTCATTTTTTAATTTAATTAATGAACAAATATTTGAAAAAACTGTATCAACATGAAGTGTCATCCACTACAAGTTTAAAAAATGTATTTGAACTTGAGTGAATAAATAAAAAGTACACTGGTGTCCAAAGGTTAAGCATAATTGACAATTATATGAATAAAGAAGAAACTGTAAATCAGAATGGCGGGAAACGTGATTTGCGAGTGTAAAATGGTTATAAAATAAGGAAGCAAATCAAAAGAATGATAATAATTAATTTTATTATCCAAAGTAGCAGTTTGAAAGAAAACTGAGCATAGCAAGAATTCACACTTTGAAGAAAAAATGAAAGAAAACTTTAAATAAAGTACTGATGCTGCTGTTTAATAAGACGTGTGGCCGCCTCTGACAGCCAGACACGCTGCACAGCGATTTACCATATTTGCTGTGAGATGATGAATGAGTTGTGGGCTCAAACGCTTCCAAGATTCTAGGAGAGCTCTCTTCAGTTCTGTAACGGAGCTCTATGGGGGCGAAAGGGCTGAAATTTGCCTCCCGAGCATATCCCATACATGTTCCATAGGATTTAAATCAGGGGAGTTCGCAGGCCAAGACATGCCTGGATGTTTTCCATTTCAAGGAAGTCATCAATCAGCACCGCTCGGTGACATGGCGCATTATCATCCATGAATATGAAGTTAGGACCGACAGCACCTCGAAACAAGCGAACCTAAGGCTCAAGAACTTCGTCTCTGTATCTTTGAGCAGTTACAGACCCCGTGTCAAAGAAATGGAGGTCTGTGCGGCCGTCCATCATGATGCCTGCTCATACCATTACTCCCTTGATGGAAAATGTCACTACTCAGACTAAACCGGGACTCGTCACTGAACAACCGTCATTTGCACACTTCTCCCACACTTCAATGTTGATATTTCAAACTCCAGTCCAAAGGAGAGCGTTTATGCGCCGACGTGAGGGGAATGCAAACTGCTGGTCTTCTGGCATACAGGACAGCATGATTGAGTCTCCTGTAAACAGTTTGTCTTTAAATTCGTATGCCTGTGGCGACTGTGAGAGCCGAACCCAGTGCTCTTGCAGTACTGCCCCTCTGAGGTTGCGCACTTATTACCAGATATCGGTCTTGGCGAGGCGTTGTGACTCTTGGTTGACCTGATATTGGTTGTCGGGTAACATCTCCCGTTTTTTGAAACCTCTGCCATAGTCTTCAGAACACAGACTGGTTCACATTCAGAATTCGAGACACTTCGTTTTGTGATCGTGAGAATTCCAGCATTCCAACGATTCTTCCTTTCGTAAACATGTCCAATTGGCGTTTTTGTGCCATCATTCAACTTGTTTAATGGCTAACAACTTCTTTCGCAAAGCAGTCGCACGAAACTTGTCTGAACTGCCTATGCTGCGTGAATCGGTTTGTCCGCTTTCGACATGCGCCGGTGTTTCGCGCAGGACGTAGTCGACTGAAAAGTTTTGCATAAGCCTAATATTTCTTCTTCACCCAATTAATATTCGCAAGAAATTTGGAAGAATTTTACGAATATTTACTCTGTTTTTCACATTTTGCGATTTATGCTCAACCTTTATACACCAGAGTATTTTATTAACGATTGAAAATTTGAACATTATATACATATATACATATGCAAATAAATATACAGAGGGAGAGTGTGAACTAAGACTAGGAATTGAAAAAGACAAACTGAGTATTATTCATTATAGTTTTTATCACTATAAGGTTATATTATTTCTAAAAATTGAGGAAATAAAGGTAACACTATCGACCCCCGATTTAAGTAATCTCTATTTAACGAATTTCGAGATATAGCCCGGAAGTGGTCGTGCGGGGCACAAATCTGGGAAAACTGTTTATTTGTTACCAATTACCTTGCTATTATCTTCCTATATGACAGTCTTCATGGGAGCTAAAATGTATTTGTCACATACATCCCATTTTTTAGGGAATGGCGAAAGGTTTTTACAATATTAAGGCAGCGTTTCTCAAACTGTTTGACGCGCCCTCCTTGAGGGACGTGACAACTCTATGAGGGGTGCGCAAACATATTGAAAAATCAAAAACAAAAATATTGTTTAATTTTTTTTTATTTTACTGAAAGTAAGCAAACAAAATACATTCTGGCATAAAAAAAATAAAATACACCTTTACACTGATATATTACACTTATAAATGTATCAGTGCTACACAATGTATTTTATAATTAATTTAACAATAATAAGTTGAGAATAAGTTTAATAATTACCAGTGACCTCATGGGATTGTCATACATAAAAAAGTATCCAAAAATGAATATTTATCTTTATGATTTGTAAGATTTATAATTAATCCCTAAAATGCTGATTAAAAGTTACACGATTTGCCTCCCAATGCCAACAGTTTTCCACGCAGGCGCGTGTATGTGATGCATTGGGGGAGGGGGCAGGTTGCTTTTTCAAATGACATTCTTTTTCTCCTGAATAGAAAAAGACTTCTCTTGTAAGAAACAAATTTCAAGAGGACCATTATTTGATTTTGCAGATGTAGAGACGAGTCATGACTGTAACTGATCGTGCGAATCTTGAGTATAGAAGACGAAATTCTATTTTTATCTCATCCCAATCGCAACGCAGGGGATAATTTCAGATTTTAATGATTATGTAACATTTGTTGGTGTACTACAAATCTGCACAACTGAGATTGAAGAAATTGTTGATCTGTAGGAGCCAATGAACAACGATACTAATGCTAAAATTGTGTGATAATGAAACTCCTATAAAACTATTAAGGTATCTGGGACGTCTGTGACAAGGAAAAATGAATTTTTTTACACCAAATTTTAATGATTCTCACTTATTTAAATTAAAAACAATGATAGTAAAATTTTTACATTGAGTTATCTGTATGTTAATGTAAAAAGAATCCATTTTAAATCACAAAAAAATCTGTATGAGTAATAAATAATCAATAGCTACTTTTATTTTCGAGGCATGTTCTTACGTTAAAATATATTTCGAATAAATCCACTTCATATATCGCTTTTAAATTTTCCAGTGTGTTTGCAAACATAACTATCAATAAAATAAACGAAATGAAATTTAAAAAAATAATTTTATAGAAATTTTAAAAAAATTTAAATTTATTGATTCAAATTATCTTTAAATTTCATGCAGATATTGTGCTATATCTGAAATTTGTGAATGTTTATTCGAAAATGAATTCATTCACTTCTTTAAAAATTGTGAATCTTGTATTATGCAAAATATCAGCGCTGTAGAAAAAGTAGAATTTGCGCAAAGTGTACCGGAATCATGAAAAGTGCATTTGGAGAAAACTGTGAATAAAGATATTTTTATCTATGATTTGCAAAATAATATATTTTTAATACAATATAAAGCCATACCTTAATTAATTGGATTATTTTGCATTATATTTAAGTTTTTAAATTGTAAATTAAAAATTATAGATTATTTAGAAGTCTTTTTAATTTCTCCTTTCTTACTTCATCAATACGTGTTACCAAAGAGTTTCACACCATCTTCCATTTAAAATACCATAGTTTTATATCTATAATTTTTAGTATTTGTACTTCAGTTCGAACATCGTCATTACAGGATATTACAGAATTCCTTACACATATTTTTATTGTTTTAAAAATGCACAAAGAAATTTCTTTGAGGAATTTAAAGAGTTAATTTGATATCCAGTTTAAATGACACTCTGTTTTTAAATCAAAAACTGTTTTTGTACTAATACATATAGATATTTATTTTAAAGTAAAAACAACAATTATAAATATATAGATTTATTCAGTATTCAGATGTTATAAATAACCATTTAGGAAAAAGGAAATGTCTATTTTACAAAATATGTAATTAATTACGGATAAACCTCAAGATCCACTTACTATATCCATTTGATTTATAATTTAAGAACTATACTGAGTATTTATAAATGCAAACTAAACATAATTAACATTAAAAAAAAACAAATTTTCTCTTAAAATTTTGTAACTAATCATTTAAATTTTCATTCATTTTTGCACAAAAAAATTTAGAATTTTTCATTAATATTGAACATATAATGCAGGAAAATTACGTTATTTATATAGAAAAATTAGTATTTTGCAATGCATATTTTATAAAAAATGAATTTTGAAGAAAGTGTATTTGATCACAGTTACATCATATTTGCTTACAAATTTAAAATTCAATTTTCTAGCGTTCTATTTATCTAATTCTCATGAATAATGCATTTACAGATGCAGCAAAGTTTATTGGAATTTTTAAAAGTAAAATAAAAAAAAAATGCAAAAGGGGAAGCATTGTCACACTCCAATTACCTTAGATTTTCTAATGTTTTACATTCTTTAGAAACTGTGTGTTAAAATACTCCTCCTTTTTAAGTAGCAAAATATAAATGATACAGAGTATTTTGTTCTCTGCATTTGGTCGAAAAAGAATTTTCGATTCTGGAATCAAAATTTTCGTACATCTTTTGATCAGTATTTTAAATTTTCCATTGTTACGTAATAATTCACTAATTGCATTTTTAGCCGTTGAAAAAAAGTGAGTAATTTTTAACTATGGGTGTTTTTTGCTTAGATGCGTATAAAATTTCCAAATGAGAGATGATAGAAATTTGTATTTTATTTGGACCTTGATGTAACGAATATCCTCGAATTAACAAACATAATGTTTGTTCCCAAAGTATTCGTTAAATCGGGATTTAACTATATTTATATATTGAAATTATTTGTCTGTTTGCTAATAAAAGCATCTCCTTTAGACATCAGGTGTTCTGGGATAATACCTCGAATAAATAACTTCAAAATATAAGAGCATTGCTCTTATATTTCTTAGGCAAATTCGTTAAAAAAGGAAGTACGCTTTATACGCCAAATATATCTAAAAACTAAACAAAACGCAGCTTGAAATTATAGGTGCGC